CGTGTGTGCACACAGTGCACCAACACCCATGTACCCATGTTCACACGTGTGTCTAAACACGCATATGCTCACCTGGAGCACACACTTGTGGAATGCGTGGTGCTCACAGACACACAGGCACGTGCTCCGTGGACCGTTCGCAGGTGCTGGGCAGGCACAAGCGTGCACACACGAGGATGCGTGCGTCCCCACGCACAAGGCCCTTAGAGAGAGAGCAGCCACGTCAGTGCTGCTGAGGGGCAGCGGGAGGGAGCCCCATCAAGGACCCAGCCAATTTGTCCACTGGGAGCTCAGACAGGACCTTGTGGGGGAGGGGCCTCAAGGGCAGTGGGGGTGGAGGAAGTTGCTGTGGAGAGGAAGACCCACAGAAGGTCCGCACCTCTGTCAAGAAATTTGGCTGTGAAGAGATGAGAGGGTGGCAGAGGAAAGGGAGTGCAGAGTTCAGGGGGGGCTCCATTTACCTTTGCCCTTTGCAGAAACAGAGCCTGTTGGAGTGCTGATGGGGAGGGGCTGGCCTGGATGAGGGGGTAAAAAACGTGAGAGAGGAGGGCAGGGCGAAGCTAGCCCCACGGAGACAGCCTCCAGTGGCTTTGGCAGGAGGGTCAGTGCTTCCTCGGGGACAGGAGGGACGGAGGACCAAGTGGCTGCAGTCACACACAGGTTAGTGGCTTGGTGGCTGGACATGAAGTCACATCAGCCCGATGCCTTCCGCCTTCTGTTTTCTCTGTGCAGCAGGAGGTGCTCAGCTGACCGGGGTGGGTGTGGAGAAGATGGACCATAGGATCCATCCGTGGCGGGGTTTTTGGCCAGGTGTGTGGGACAGAAGGGTAAGGAACAAGGATGTTGAGGGTGTTGGCAAGAGAATGACTGCAGTCATGGACCCTGGGGGTCAGTCTGGGAAGGGAAGGAGGTGTAGACAGGAGGGTGGGTGGGCAGGGCCTCTGGAGAGGGACTTTGGATAGTGGGCATGGAGTAGCCAGGAGGGGAGCCGTGGTCAGAGTGAGCTGAGCTGGGGACGGGGTCACAGGGTCAGGCTGTGGCTCTGGGAAGGGGCCCCCGGGGCCACTGTTAGGACACTGACTTAAAGGAGGGGCTTGGGTCAGAGAGGAGACTGCAGGGTGGTGGTGAGGACCCCATGGGTAGATGACAGAGGGAGGTGGGGCTGACAGAAGGGTGTGCATGGCAGAGAACAGCCCCAGACACCATGCTTGGGAATCCCCTTTCTCTGCTGCGGGGCCCACCAGGAGAAGGTGGAGACCTGCTCTGCAGGCATTGTCCTCAGGCAGAGCCGGGGTCAGGGATGGGGGTGAACCCTGAGGGGGCTGTGGAGTCCTAGGGTGGGAGAGAATCTGCCCCTTCTGGAGCCCTTGGCCTCAGGCAGGTCTACTGAGTGGGGGTGCAGGGATGGGGGCATAGGGGTGCCTGGAAGGGGCCCTGGGGAGTGGCCAGAGGGGCCCCAAGGCCCTCTAGTTCATACAAGGCCTGGCCACATCAGCAAGAACACTGCCCAGTGGGTAGCCTGCTGGCTCTGGGCCCCCAGGGACAACTCCCCCTCCTGCCTGCAGAGTCCCCTCAGGAAGGCCCCCTAGCTCGAGCCCACCTCCCTAAAGCCGACAGTTCCACCCCTGACTCTTCCACGTGTTCTGCAGGACAACGGACCCCTGGACCCCTTTCTGCAGCACGTACCTGTGCCCTGTGAGCCCTGGTGTGCCATGTTCACAGACACCTCCAGTGCCGCCCCTACCAGCCCTGCCGCCCACCGCCACCACCACGCAGGCTGAGCACACAGTCTCCAGCCCCACCTGCTCCTGCAGCGCCCTCAGCCACCCATGTGCAGGTACCATGACGCGTCTACACACTGTCGGCTTCACGGAGCCCACCGAACAGTTCCATGCCCTGCCCAGGCCCTCCAGTGCCATCATGTCCCTGGACTCACGCAGACTTAGGGAAGGGTCTGACCCTGCCCTGGCACCCACAGATGCCTGCTCCCTTCACCATGGACCCACATGTATACCCAACCACTGCCCCCCCCGCCCACAAGTCACATGTGAACAGTCCTCTGTGGCTTTGGCCACCAACATATCTTGCCCCAGCCAGAACCAGCCAGAACAGCTTGCCATTTGCTCAGCCATCTGTCCATCCAAAGACAGAGTTATCTTGGTGCTCTCTGTGGCCAGGGGCCCCCCACGCTCTGGAACTCACAGAAGCTGATTTTTGTTCCTCTTCCTGCCTTTGGGACTGCTGCCCTGGCCTGCTTGCCCTGGTCCCCAACTGCTGGGGCAGTTACTCCCTGCCATGCCCTGGCCGGCCACAGGTGCGTCTTTGACGGAGATCCCACTGAGGCCAGAGGAGTCTCCTGGGGCAGCTGGGGCCCTGGGCAAGAGTGAGGTGGAGGGCAGGGCCAAGCAAGGAGGAAGGGCCAGCTACCCTGATGACATACCTTTTTTTTATTCTTTGGGCCTATGGGGAGTTCTGGGTGCCTTTGGACTTGGAATTCTTTTTAAGAAAAAAAAAAAATGATAAAAAAACACCCTCAAAGCTGATTTTTCTTGTTACAGAAAAACTAATATAAAAGCATTACCCCTTTCTGGCAGCCCATGGCCGTGTCTGTGTATGCTTCCTGCCAGGCACTGGACTGGTCTGTGGGTGGGCAGGACACAAGAACCTCAGGGCCCGTCCAGACAGGCACGGGTTGGTGCAGAGTTCAGTTGTTGGGCCCACAAGTCATCACATAGGCAGAGGTCCAGGGGTGTGGGGTTTAGTCACAGGTAAGGAGGCCTGAGGCCTCCTTGGTGGGGGTCGGTGGGTCTGGCCAAGACCACCACACGGGGCTTGTGAGCTCACTCTGTACTTCCAGAAGCTGAGCATCTGAGCAAAGGACCTCCTGGCTTTGGGCCCCTCAGGCTCTCCCGGAGGACCACCTGCGTGCTGACGGGGGTGTCCCCCGGAAGGCCAGGGTGGGAAAGAGCCTGGAGGCAGGCCCGGGAGATAGAGCAGAGGCTCCCTGGGGGCCCAGGTCTTTGCAGTTCTGACCGGGGAAGCAGTGAGGGACATGCCTGGTGCTCCCACCGCCCCCAGCAGGGCCAGAGCTGGAACCCGGAGGGGGAGCACCTGGCTCAGAGCAAAGAAGGAACTCTGACAAGCAGAGCCGCCCCACAGTGGAGGGGTGCCCAGGAAGTAGTGCCCTCCTGCTCCTGGAGGCAGGTAAGCATGCTCCTGTTGAACCCAAGGAAGAGCAGCTTCCTGCCTTGAGGTGGGCCAGGCTCCATTGCTCAAAGGGCCTTAGAGAGGTGACACGGGGAAGGGGTGTTTAAGCCAGTCCACACGATTGTGGGACTGACTGATAGCTTGACCTCTGACCTCTCTTCAGTGATTAGGCCTTAATGGGGGGAAAGATGTTCCCATGGTAGACCCTTTAGCCCCTGGCCCTGCAGTGGAACAGGGATTCTAGGATCAGGGCCCTTCATGGACTCCTCAGACTACAGGCCTGGGAGGAGGATAGGAAGTAGTTCAGGACCAGGAGGTGGGAGGGCAAGTGCCCTGCTGAGTCTCCGAGGGACTTTGGGATGCCCATCCCTACCCCCCACTTCAGGGTCTCCTGGGGGCTCCTCTGTGCAAGACCCCAAAGCTGCATCTTCTCCCCAGAGCACATTCAGAACAGGCTGTGTAGCTGGGGCTCTTCCATGTCCCCTGTGAGCCTCCTGGAGGCCTCCTGGGGCTGAGGAGAATGAGGGATAGAGTCTGGAAATGTCTTTGGGCACGTCCCCTCCTGAAAGCAAAGCATTCACCAAAGGGAGCCAGACTATTTGAGGAAATTTGTCTCTCTTGTGGGGACTGTTCTCTGTGGTCTGTCCACACTGTGGCTGTGGAGCCAGGCCCCCAGGCAAGCCGATTCATACTCTGCCTCCTGCATATGACAGCTCAGACAGGTCTGGCTTCATTCCAGCCCCCAGGACAGGCTCGTTTGCTCTCTGGCTTCCCTGGGCAGGCCTGTCCGCTGCCAGGCCAGCTAGACCTGTCTATCCTTTGGCTGCAGGGACAGGTCTGACCATACACAGGCTGCCCAGTCGGGCCAGTCTGCACAGCAACAAGCTGATATTCTTAGCCCAATAAAGAAATGCTGGCCGTGGTATGGTCGCTACGCCCACAAGACTTGAAAAACAAAATACCTTTATTTAGTTATCATGAATTTGCAAACACAGAAAGGAGTAGAAAATCTAACACTGCTTCATCAGAGGGCTGACCCAGGGTCCCAGGGGCAGCTTGACCAAAGCATCCCAGGCCAATCTGCCTCCCTAGTCCTGGCTAGCCCACCTAACCCGTGGGAGGCTGGCCCAGATGATTCTAAGGGTCTCTGCGGCTCTTCTGAAGACATCCCCTCTCCACATCAGCTGAGTTTTGTGAGAGACAGCTGGTGGGATGGGCTGTGGCACGTGGCAGGCAGTGGGACTTGGCCTTGGGTTGGGCCATCCTCGGGGAGAGCTGTGTGTCGGAGGACATGTGTTACGGGGCAGGAAGGGGGATGGGCCTGGGCAGGGACACAGCTGGGGTAGAACCAGACTACTCTTGTGTCTTCATAAACTGAAGTCAGTGGCAGAGCTCCTGGAGGGGGGCAGACACCCTTTGCCTCTGGCCCTGCAGGTCCCCATCCCCTGGGAAGGACTGGCCAAGGCTTGAAAGACTTGAGTTAGAGTCCTGGCCCTGGCACTATTTGCTCAGAGACCTGGGGCAAGTGTTTTCAGCTCACAGAGCCTTAACCATTTGATCCGGAAAGTGGGCCCAGATAGCCCCTGCCTGCCGCCCTGCTAGGTCATCACAGTAGACATGTCACAGCCGGGGCTCGGGCCATGCTTCCTCTTCACTCTCCAGGGGAGGCTCCCACCTACAGTGTTGCCCTCCTGAGCCTCCACTGTCTGACGAGTGGGGCTAATTCTGACCTCTCGAGGGTGGGAAGAGCGCGTGAGCCTGGCTCCCATCAGGTGCTCGGAAAAGTAGGTGTGTTGAAATCCTGCCCTTGGTCCCAAGCCTGGAGGCCTCCCCGGACCCCCACAGCCCTGCAGGCTCAGACGTTGGTCTCAAGCTCACTAATCTCAATGGTGCAGTGGTCCAGACAGGTGGTAGCTGACTCCTCGTCCTGTTCCACCTGGATGGGGACGTGGTGGGGACAGGTGGGGCCCAGGGTCAGCTCTGAGGCCTCAGCCACGCTCTTCACACAGCCATTCTGCTGGGTTGCCACGATCTCCTGGAGGCTCACAGGCTTGGTCTCACAGGGCGGCAGTTTCTGGGGAGGGGAAACAGGCCTCAGGAAGTAGCAGCAGGAAGAAGTGAGGTTAGACACTGGGGTGGACGGAATGAGCAAACCGTGTGATTGGTTTTCCTACAGATGTGCTTTGGGACCTTGAGAGGTCACCCAGGCCCTCTCGGGGCCCCAGTTCCACTCTGTCCTGCCTCCTTCTGAGCCTTCCTTCTGATGGACCACACGGTCTGGCAAGGGAGTGGGTGGCTCCCCTGCCTGTCCCCCCCATGGAGTGGGCTAGCCTGCTCCACAGAGTTACGGAAGGAGCCCTGAGCACCACAAAGCCCTGTGCTGCCCAAGTGAAGCTGGTTGGTGGACAAATACCACCTCCCCACAAGGGCCCAGGCTCCCTGAGGGCAGGGCTCTCTCTTCCTTTGCTCTCTTCTGCTTCTCTCATGATCTACCACCACAGTGAGGGCTCAGCAAGCAGCTGCTAGAGTACTCGGTCAGCCCCATACAGAGACCAAGGCCAGAGGGCTGGGCAGAAGCCTGCCCTGAGGCCCTGCCTCCCGCCCAGCTCTGCCCTCTCAGTGGGGGTGAGGAGGGTAGGAGGGTGGGGGAGTATGAGGGTGGGCTGGGGGGAGGCTCTACTCTCACCTCAGTGCCTATGTCCTGAGCGAAGTCCTTCCGGCAGATGTGGGCCATGATGCCCGCGGCCAGCGCATCCCCCAGCACGTTAATCATGGTGCGGAAGCGGTCCCTAGCGAGCCAAAGTGGCCAGTGAGCCGAGACTACTTTGTTTTTTTCCGTAGGAGTTGCTGGTGGAGGGCAGTGCTCACCCTGGCAGCACTGGCGGCCAGCAGTCAGGCCGGAGCCCATAGCAAGGTGCCTTTCTCGTCCTCTTGAACCTACCAGCCCCCTGGGGGGCTGTGCCCGAGCAGGTTCACCCACGGCTGGCTTCATGGGCACATCACTGTGCCCATGCTTAGAAGGGCCTGGGCTGGGTCTAATGCTCAGCTCCCACCCTCTGGAAGTTCCTCAACCTTTTTGAACAGGGATAGGCACATTTTTAGTTTTGAATAATGGGCCCCACAAGTTATGCAGCCGGGCTGGTGTCCGTGAGCAAGGCACCCCACTAGGCCACACCACGGCCGTTCCCTGGGCTGCCTAAGGGGTGGGGCAGGCGAACCCCACTCACAGAGCCCAGTCGACAGCGATGATGAGGGTGATGTCGTCAGTGGGCAGTCCCACAGAGGTAAGCACGATGACCATGGTGACGAGCCCAGCCTGGGGGATGCCAGCTGCCCCGATGCTGGCCGCGGTGGCCGTGATGCTGCAGGAGGGGCAGGGAGAGGAAGAGGAGGAGCAAGAGGGGCAGGCTTCGCTGCTGGGGCCCTGGCCCCAAGAAGAAAGCCAGAATGCCAGGGCCTCTGGGGACAGCCCTATGGGGCAGGGGTTGTTAGGAAAGCCACAGCGGGAAGTTCTCGAAGTGGAGGGGTGGGGCATGGCCCTGCTCAAGGTCCTCTCGCCCCATGGCCTCCATTCAGGGCCTCAGCAGAACCTCCTGAGGAGTTTGTGGAGAAGCCTGTGCCTGGAGCCACTGCCTCTCTAGGGGTCCAGGAAGCTGACCAGAGAGTCAGGTCAACCAGCACATAGCTCTCTGCCCAGCCTCCCTCTGGGGCCTGGTTCCCAGGGCCAGACTTGTGCCCTAGGGCTAACATGCAAGGCCTTCCCCACGGCCCTTGCCCCTTCCCCCAGCACCCCTCCCTCCGTTCCAGCCACACTAGCAGTCCCTCCCTCCCTCATCCTGTCCCTAGCCTCTGCTTGCTCTGTGCCTGCCTGCAGCCCCCTCTCTGCCCTGCATGTCCAGACTGCAGGACCTCCTCTGGGCCTCAGCTTCCCAGCCTGCTCAGAGCTCCCCCTCTGCAGGGTGCTGCTGGAGAAGGAGCCCTGAGTCATTGGCACCAGGTCACGTGCCAGCCACAGCACTGACTTGCTATGTGGCCGGGAACAAATGTCTTCCCTACTCTGCACCTCAGAGACCCCCTCCAGATGTGGGAGCTCAAGAACCCTGAAGGCCCTTCCAATGCCCTCCTCTCTCCCCGCACTAGTCCACACTGGGTATGGGTGTCAGGTGTGTACCTGATGGTGATGATCTGGCCGAAATCCAGCTCATAGTTGTTGACCTGGGCAATGAAGATGGCAGCCACGGCCTCGTAGAGTGCGGTGCCGTCCATGTTGATGGTGGCGCCCACAGGCAGCACAAAGCGGGCAATGCGCCGGTCAATGTGGTTGTTTTCCAGCAGGCACTTGAAGGTGATGGGCAGTGTGGCTGAGCTGTGGGCAGAGGGCCCAGTGTCTGCCCACCACCCTCCTCTGGGGGCCTCTGGGCTGCCTTCCTGCCGGGGCAGGAATCTTGCCCCCAACCCAGGCAGCCTGCCCATCATTGGGGAGAAGAGGCTGAAAGAGCTTTGCAGTGGTCTCAAGTGGCATCCTTGGGGAGTGTGTGATCCGTGGCCCAGCCGGGGCTGCCCAGGCCTAGTGCCCGAGAGACCCCCACTGACGGCACGGGTTGGGAAAGGAGTTACTACCGGCAGAGCACCTACTACGTGCCAGGCTTGTGCTTTACACACTCCTCCGGTCCTCTTGGCTTCCTGTCAGAGACGGGTTTTGAGACTGTTTCACAGATGAAGAAACGGAAGTCCAAAGGACACAAGGGGCTGACTCGGAGTCACAGCGCTGGGCCACGTTTACATGAAGTGGCCACTTGCTGGATTTCGATTCCAGCCGCCCACTAGCCAAGTGGCTCTGGCAGCTTCCTCAACCTGTGTGTGCCTTAGTCTCCCTGTCCCACACGAAATCTAGATCACAGCGCTATTAGGGTGGTTCAAGGAGAAAGCACTTTGAACAGTGTCCGGGACTTTGCAAACATGCAGGCAGCAGAGGCCCCTGTGACTGCTCTTCTTGTGTTTACGACTAGAGCTCCTGGTGGCCGTGCTGAGATGAACACTCAGGTTGGGGTGGCCCCAAGGCCCTTCCTCTGCCACAGGCCACTGCCTGGGGGCCCACGTCCACTTCTCAGTGTGCTAGGCCCGAGGCTGTGGCTCCTGCCAAGCAGGAGATGGCCCAGGGCTCCTGGCTGCAGCAGGGCTTGGCCTGTGGCCTATGGCCTGGGGGCTGGCAGCCACTTGGGACTTGGTCTTTCCTTTCTACCTCCTGGCCCTGCCCTGCATGGAGGTTCCTGGATGAGGCTTCTGGGGCTCCTCCCTGGGGCTGTGCTCTTCCTCAGTGCTTCCTGAGGTGCTTCAGCTGCCAAGGGAGGGGTCACGTGGCTGCTAAGGAAGGAGCTCTGTGGTGGCCTTCGTTCCCATTTGACAGATTGGGAAGGTGAGGCCCAGAGAAGAGAAGGCAATAAGGGATAGAAGGAAGAGCTAGACTTTGGCTCCAGAGAGACACAGGCCTCAGCTCAGGTGACTTAGCTCGGACATTTGCTGTGGGGAAAACCACCCTTTCTTCATGGAGTATAGAGCATTTTCTTCCCCAGTGTAGACAGCCGGGTTTACATGACTCCCACTCCCTGGGCTCCACTGTGGGCTGGGACCCTGGAGAGTAGGTGCCATCTCATCTAGCCCAGACCAGCCTTCTTGCCCTATGGTGGGTTATCTCCACTCATTCCCACGGCAACCCTACAAGGCAGCGGTTACCATAAGCCCCAATCTGTGTGTGAGGGAATGGATGCCCAGGGAGCTCAAGTGACTTGCCCACAGCCATACAGCCAGTGGGTGATGGAACCGTGATTCCAATCCCAGTTGTCACTGGCTAGTGACACTGTCCAGGTTGTGACAGGGCATCCCACCAGGGTGTCCCCGTGGCTGTGGATGGGCCAAGTCCCTAAACAATGCAGGGCCCGACTCCAACAGGAGCAACAGGTGACAGCGATTGTAGATTCATCCCTCTTTAGCTGTCCCGACCCCAGGTGTGCAGAAGCCACCCCCTCGTGGACTGAATAGGTCTTAGAGATGCAGGTAGTAGGGGAGGGAAAGGCGTTAAGAGGCAATAAGGGGTTTCTGCCCCTCAGTGGGCAGGTGGGACCTCAAGCAATCCACTTAAAGAATTGGTCTCGGGGTGCCTGGGTGGCTCAGTGGGTTGGGGCTCTGCCTTCTGCTCAGGTCATGATCTTTGGGTCCTGGGATTGAGCCCCGCATCAGGCTCTCTGCTCAGCGGGGAGCCTGCTTCCCGCTGTCACTCTGCCTGCTTCTCTGCCTGCTTGTGATCTCTATCAAATAAATAAATAAAATCTTTAAAAAAAAAAAAAAAGGAATCGGTCTTACTACCAAAGGTACCTCCAAGTTTGTGGAGTGGGCCGTAGGGACACTTGCCATGGTTCCATGGCTATGGACACGTGATGGCTGGACAGATGAACAGAGTTCAGCCACTGCCATCCCCTACCCTGCCCATCCCCCGGGGCTACCTGGAGGAGGTGGCCAGTGCAATAAGAAGGGCCTGGAGGACGCCGCGGATGAACACAATGGGGTTCTTCCTGGTAATGAAGAAGTAAAGCAGGGGCAGGATGAAGAGGCCGTGGACCACCAGCCCACACACCACGGTGATGGCATAGAAGCCCAGCTTCTTTCTGACGGCCGTGGGGTCGTCCATCTCCAGGATCTTGCCGGCGATGAGGAACACAATGCCGAAGGGGAAGTACCTGGGGGCAGGGTGTGGACCGGCAGCCAGCTCAGGGCCAGGCAGGCAGGGGTCCCAGGGCAGCCTCAGCACCGCATCGCTGCCTGGCCCAGGGCCCCCTGAGCCTCCCCCGGGGCTCCCGTGAGGACCAAATGGGACTGTGCACCAACATGCCCAGCACATAGCGTCATTTGTACCCTGACCCTCAACCAGCCCAGCCCTGCACAACTTCTGACCTCTGTGCCTTCCTGTCTAGGCCTTTGAGGAGTGCCCTGCCCTCAGCAGGCCTTCCTTTCAACCCAGCAGTGCCACAGACTTCATGCATGACCTCTGACAGGCCTCCGCATTTCCCCGTCTGAACGGTTGGACTAGAAGATTCCTAAGGCCTGAGCTCTGAACCAGGAGCGGCAGCTGGTTCTTGCTTCCAGTGTTCCCCTTCTCTAAAAGCTGAGATGATGAGACTCCATGTAATGGGGAAACTGGGCTAGGAGAGCAGGGCCACGATTTGCTTGGAACTTTCTTCCAATGGGCCTGACTAGGCCAGAAAGGACAGGGCCAGAGCTGGAACAAGGCCTGGTCAGGGCTGTTGGGGGTGGGGGAGTGGGAGGTGGAATCTGAGGGAAAATGTGTTAGCTCTGGAGGCCGCAGGCCAGGCCTGAGCCTCCTAGGCAGCTTTCTGCTTACGCTAGGAAAGCAGAGGAAGGGACTGTGTGTCCCTCCGTGGGCACAAGGCAGGGCTGGCAGGGGGCGGGGTGAAGGCAGAAGAGGGCACTCCTGCCCCCATGAGGCTTACCACACAGCCACCGCCACAATCTTCATGACAGACTCATTGAGGCACTGGCAAAAGCTGACTAGAGGGGTTCCGTTGTCACCCATACGGCCCAGCATGATGCCTGCAGGGGCAGGGACACACAAACTTATCATGGATGCCACAGACTGAGATGCAGAGGTGCACCGGCACACGCTGGTGGCAGAGTGGGGACAGAGCCACACGTGCATGGAGCCCGCAGGCCTTGGCCGACTTCCCAGCAGCCTTTGACATACCAGTGCTTCCCCCCACCTCTCCCTTCCTTCTCCTCAGTCTCCACCACTGGAGCAGGAATCTCCTCTCGTCCTCCTCTCTTCCATAAAAAGGCTCCCTGCCAAACACCTCCCACTGGCTCCCTGAGCCCTCAGACCATCACCAAGTTCCCTGCTGCTCCAGGCCCCAGTGCATCTGACCCCTGTCCACACCTCCCGCCTCCACCTGGCGCCATTTTTCACCTCCTCACTATGCTCTGGCACCACTGGCCTTCCTTATGTTTCTGGAATACATCAAGCTTCTCACTGACGCAGGGCCTTTGCTCACGTAGGACCTGGTGCCTGAAACACTGGCTGCCCAGCTCTGCACATGGCCTGGACACCCACCAGGCCCCTCAGCACATTCCCTGTTCTGCTCTGTCTCATCTCTTTCTGATCTATTTATATCACTTATTACAACTTATAACTATTATTTTCCAGTTGTCTGTTGTTCCTTCTTGTCTCCTCCAGCATAAAGTTAGCTCTGTGAGGGCAACAACAGAATTGCCTTTGCCGGCATATTGTAGGTGCTCAATGATAAGCACCCAATGACTGAAGGAGCAAAGGAATGAATAATAAAGCCTTTCCTGGAGCCCCTATTATTCCCTTACCTCCAGAAGCACCATCAGGCCACTCCTGAAACAGTGAGAAGGGACAGCTGTCCCTTCTGGTGACACAAAAAAAGCACTCTGTGGTTACCCTTGGAAAGCTTACTGGCAGTGTGCTTGGAGGGACTCACCGCCTAGCTCAGCTAGGGAGAAGCAGGGCTGGGATTTGAACCCTGGCCTATGTGACTCCAGAGAGAGGCCGTTTCCCTGCCCCAGAAGCCTTGAGCCCACACTGTCCACAGAAGAGCTACCACATGGTGATGGGATGACATGCAGGCCCAGCTGCTATGGGTAGGAGAGGCTCAAGTTGGAGGTAACACAGCCTAGCCCTACCCGTCTGGCCTGTGGAAGGCTGGCTGAGCTCAGACCCAGGTCCCCTGCCAGCTCTATCCCTCGTCTTCCTGGCTAAATCAACCTCCACTTAAATTTCCCTGGAGGCACCTAAGGGCTCTGGCTGCCTGGGTGCTAGTGTGCATGGGACCCAGGGTGTGGCAAGAGGCCTTCTGCAATAGTTAAGGCCAATGAGGCCTTAACATCAGCCATGTCCCAACACCAGAAAGGAGGGGGAGAGGAGGTTGTGTGGAGGGGACCAAAGAAAGTCCCATCCGGAGCAGCTGTGCAAGTGTGCATGCTCACACTCAGATGTGGGCACACACATACAGATGTACATACACCCCTGGGCACACATGCACAAACACAGACCGACAGGTGGGCAGTTACACACATCCGGTCAACACTTAGTGAACTGAGTCCAGGGGTCCTGGAGTTTCTTTCGCTCTGCCAGTAGACGTCCTGTTATATGTTCCCACCTCTAAGAGAGGTAGCTGGGGAGGAGGACTGTCCACTGGGGACCGATGACCAGATGTGCTGTGAGCACTTCCAAGCACCACCCTGTCAGACACTCAGGTCCCTGAGGCCCTGGCCTCTCTGTGTGCCTGAACTTTGAGCCAAGATGATAAGAGCTTCCTTATCCCCCAGGGCCCATCCATTCATCCAGCCATCCACCCATCTCTCCAACAGATTTTCCCGCGTGCCTGCTCCCGCCAGTCCGTGCGGTGGGCTGTGGGGACCAATGCGGAACAAGCCAGGCCCATCTCTGCCTGCATGGAGCTCACACCAGCTTCTGGGCGACTTCAACAGAAACGGATAGATAACTGCAGTAGGTCAAACATTTAAGGAGGAACATGGGACACCTGACTATCTAGGGGGTTGGGGACACGATGCTAATGTAGACCTTCATCCCCGGCAAGGATGAGAAAGTTGCAGGGGAGAGCTAGGGACAGGAACAGCCAGGTGGCAGGAAGTGGGAAAGTCTTTCGGGAGGCGGCTTCCGGAAACCGGAAACCGGAAACTAAAAGGCAGCATGGCGGGAGGGGGAAAGAAAGCGGGAGCGGAGGAGCTGGGGGGCGGGCTGGGCCAAGTCTTTCAGAGCTCCGCGGGGCTTGGGCCCCCCTTTCCGAGTGCGCTGGAGAGCCACTGGAGGCCTTTTGCAGGGCTTTGTGGGCCAGTGAGGAGGACACACCGGGGCAGGAGGCTCTTGCAGAAACGAGGTGAGAAATGACGGTAGCCCAGAACCACAGTGCTGGCAGAGGGCAGAGGGAAATGCGGGCTCTGAGAGAGGTTTCAGAGGTAGACCTGACAGATCTGGATGTGGGCTAAGGCAGAGAGGCTGAGGCAGAAAATGGTGCCCGGCTATCCAGTGTGAGCAACCAGGGGGACCGTGAGAAAACCTTGTGGAGAAGTCAGGGAGGTGGGAGAGGGTCTCCCAGGCTCTTATCCCAGGATGAAGAGGGAGGTTGATGCCAATTTTAGAGTAAGACTCACAATGACCTCTGACATGGTTTAGAAGGACAAGATGGGGATTGACGAGCTAGATTGTTCTGGATGGCTTGTCCCCAAGAAGGGGAAGGGTTTTGTGTATGTGTGTGTTGGTATTGGTGGCGAGGGCACTGCTGGTAGAGGCAGGCCCATAGGTTTTTGTGGGATCTGAAGCTTATACAGTTTGGGGCTCTCTCTAAGAAAAAGAATACCTTTTTTTTTTTTTTTTTTGTAAGAATGTACAGAAAGACCTTTGCAAGTTAAGCTTCGCTTGCTTCACGGTAATAGCCTATGGTTGGGGGTCCTGGCAGCTCCCAGAGAAGAGTAGCAAAGGGCAGGGTGTGGTCAGGGAGGCCAGCTGTGGGCCATGAGAAAGGACACATACATGTCTGAGGAGGCACTTGGTCAGTGAGAAGCCCCTGTGGGAGATGGAGGGAAGAAATAAGGGGGCTTTAGAGAGATGGTGATGACTGAGAGTGTTTTAGATTTTTCCTGTTCTTTATTGTAACCTCCCCTCACCCTGCCCCAAGATCCCCAGACGTCAGTAAAATGGAACAGGCTGCTGGGAGAGAGTCCAAGGGGTGGTAATTTTAAGGGCAAGCTGACACCCCTGGAGGCCGACTAGCACCCAGGGATGGAGAATTCCAGGTGAGGAACCCTGACTCCAGCAGGGAGTAGGGTGGGAGACACCCCTAAGTAATGGAATGGGGACTTGAGCCACTCCACTGGATAGGAGAGAAAAGAACCACCTGGAAAATGGGAGACTCCAGGTTATTCACATCAGTGGGTATAGGTGGCAAAGGATGGATGCAGAAGGGGACTGGCTCCAGGCCACTGCCGGGGGTGGGGGAGGGCAGCACATACCCATGGTGGCAGAGAAGATGACGATGCCCAGCACATTCATGCCATCGATGGTATCAGGCTCTGACTTGTAAACAACCTCAGGTGGTGGGGTCAGGTCCAGGGCGAAGTTTTGAACACGAGAGCCATTCTCTTCCTGGATCCCGTAGATGAGGATCTGCCGAGAAGGGGCCTCTTCGGATGCCATCTTGGGGGATTTGACAACGGGGGTGGTCTTGGTGCGGTACTAGTGGACAACACCCCAACCAGGAAGGAGTCAGGGCCAAATACTGTTCTTAATATCATCATCAACAACAATAATAACATCTTGGAGGCACCTTTGTATGCGGTCAAGAACTATTTGATTGACAATAACCCTGTGAGGTAGGCAAGAGTATTACCAAGATTTTACCAAAAAGAAAATTGAGATTCCTTCAGCCATGGACACACTCCCCAGCCATGTGTCTCCCCAAGCCTTCCTCCATCTTCTTCGTTCTCTGCAACATCGCACCCATCTGGGTTCCCCTCTACCCATGTCCTCTTCTACCCAGATAATTTTCCATTCACTCATCTATCCCTCCCAAGCATCCATTTTCCCTCCATCTAACTGCCAGCCAGCCCTGCCTGCCACTGATGGCAACTTGGACCTTCTCTTTGAAAGGCTCAGATTGCCCCAAGCCTTCTTAAAGAGAAAGAAGATCCATCTGGGAGGAACTGAACCTCCAAGCCTCTTCCTTTCCTCCTCTGCCCCAGGGCATTCCTGCATCTTTCCCCCTCACTCCTTGGACACTAGGAGCCCAAACAGGGAGTCTTCTATCCTCCCAACACCATAGTGTCAATGAGGTAGGCCTTCTGGGGGATGGGGTGGGGGAGCCACTCAGGAAATACATGGTCCCTCAACTTTCTGTGCTTCAGTGTCTTCATCTCTAAAATGGGGGTCACAGTCACACCTAGCTTGTTAGATTAAATGAGACAACATATGTGAAGTGTTTAGAACAGCGCCTGGCATGTGGGATCCCTTATGTGGCCATCGCCACTGTTATGCCACCACCACCATCATCATCATCATTCCAACATTGAACATACTGTGGTGGGGGAAGGGAAGCAGGGAAGCAAAGATGAACTGGATGTGAATTCTGCGCTGAGAACTTTGGAAAGGGAGTGAGCTACTTTGCCTCTTCATAGCTTCACAAAGAAAGGGATATTTGAGAAGGATCTTGAAGGGTGGGTAGGAGTTTGCCAAAAGAGAAAGGGCATTCCAGGCAGGCATGAGGTTGAGCAACATTCAGTGTTTCTTTCTGACACCTTCAATAATTCACCATCACCACTGGAATAAAATCAGAACTACCTGGCCTAGCATTCAGGGCCAGTCACTGTCTGGCTCATTTCATAGATAAGGCCCAGGAGATTGGGAAAGATACAGTGATTAGCTCAAGGTTTCACAGCTCCTTATTTTGGAGCCTTCTCTCCAACCCTCAGCCTCTTCCTTTGTGTCCTCGCTCCCAATGCAGGGCCCAGCACAGGCAAGGGGGTCGGGAAATGCTTGCTGGATTGTCAACCAACAAGCCGACATTTTATGAGGGGTAAAGAATTAGAAAGTATTAGAAGGGCAGACAAATCTGGCACACAAGGGTATTTACCATCATTTTTTCCAAAAAGGAAACACTTTGAATAGAGCCTTAAAGCCCACCGGAAGGAGGGATGGCCCCACCATGGGCTTTTACATCCCCACAAATACTGTATTTTAAAGTAACACTTAGTAACCAGGGCAAATGCTCATGCTATAATGAGCGTGGGGATAACGCAAGATACACACCATCTGTGCACCATTATCCTGATTTTGTTTTTTCAAAACATATTTAAGCAGAGAGAAAAGACTAGAAGTGTCCCACCTAGTACCAACTGTTGCTTGGTCCTAGAACGAGAGATGATTTTTATTTTCAACTTTGTACTTGGAGTATTTTCCTAATATTTTACACTGAGCATGATTAGTATTCTTGCTCCTGGGAAAAAGGGTTATTTTGTTTTATTTTATTTTATTTTTAAAAGATTTTTTTTTTATTTATTTCAGAGAGAGAACACAAGCAAGGGGAGAGGAAGAGGGTTAGGACCCTGGGATCAGGACCTGAGCCAAAGGCAGAGGCTTAACCAACTCAGCCAGTCAGTTGCCCCCAAAAAGGGTTATTTTAAAAAGAAAGAGAAAACAGGCTTAGATGCCAGATAGGCCTGGGTTTCCTGATCAGCACTGTTATTTACTAGCTGTAAAACCTTGAACAGTTCCGGGGCACCTGGGTGGCTCAATGGGTTAAGGCCTCTGCCTTCGACTCGGGTCATGATCCCAGGGTCCTGTGATCGAGCCCCGAGTCAGGCTCTCTGCTCAGTGGGGAGCCTGCTATCCCCCCCCCCCCCGCCCCGCCTGCCTCTCTGCCTACTTGTGATCTCTGTCAAATAAATAAATAAAATCCTTAAAAACAAACAAACAAACAAAACCTTGAGCAGTTCCTTTAATCCTTCTGAGCCTCCAGCCTCAGTTTCCTCACTGGGGACAGGGGACTGGCGCATGGAGTGCAGGCTTACTGTGAGGACCCAGTGATTCAGGGTGTGTGAGCAGGGGGTGAACCTAGAGCACGGGGGCCTCCCCCAACCCTGTCAGTTCTCTTCCCGAGAAGCTGGAACCATGGGTAGGGGTCGGCCAGGGGAGACTGTAAGGATTTCGGTCTCCCCACCTCCCCTGCTCTCCAGCATCTGGCCCCAGGAGTCAGGGAGACTTGCTGGGTAAACCTGACACCCCCCCAGCCTGGCCCAGGCTGGCAATGGCTGCCCCGCTCCCTTGCCCTGGGACCCACTCACCTGTTTGAATGTGGCTTCCACCAGGTTGGCTGGGAACATGTTCCTGGGAAGAGAGTCAGTTACTGAAGAATTCCAGAGGCCAGGACAGGAAGGCCCATGGGGTCATCTGAACACCTCCCTTGACAGGCAAGGCCTTCCGTGACCTAGCCCACCTCCCTCTGACCTTTCCTCTTCCTACCACCAGTCACGCGTAACCCCCACCCTCCCCAATCCCCAGTACTCAAAACTCCAACACCAATTGCATATGGTTCCCTAGAAACACTGCATACTTCTCCAGCAGCCAGGCATTGGTCTGCACTGTCCCTCTGCCCACAGTGTCCTTCCTGCTTCTCTGGCAGCTCCTACTCCAGCCAGTCAGAGGCCCTGCCTTCTCCGATTGCTGGCCGACTCTGCAGGCCTTTCCTTGGGGGTCACCCATGCTCCAGAGTGCTGCAGTGTGGCCCTGGCTTACCAGTCTGCACCCTCCCCCAGCCTGGCCTCCCAGAAAAGTCAGTGGTTCCTATCTTATCTGTGGTGCCCAACACCGGACCTGCCACATAAATGAGATCATAATTCCTATTAACGTTATTTTCATAAAGCTAAAGGAAGAGAGGTCTTGTCCTACCAGATATGAATGTACAGTATAAAGATAGAATTTATGGTATAATATTGACACAGCTGTCAACAGAAAAATTAGAGGAGAATAGAACCTAGTACATCTAAGTACCTCATTAAAAAAATAAAGTATATTTATTTGTTTTAGTAATTGCTACACCCAACGTGGAGGTGTATAGCCATGACCCTGAGATCAGGAGTCCCATACAATCCTGACTGAGCCAGCCAGGCACCCCTGAGTACTACGTTTTTGATAAAAGTCATTTCACAGATCAGTGAGGAAAGGAAGGATTTGTCATAGAGTACTATGTAGGCGAACCAACTATTTAAATTAAAAAAAAAAGTTAGATCCCTATTTATGCTTTGCATCAAAATAAATTCCAGATAGGTTAAAGAAATAAATAATTTAAAAAATGAAGCCATAAAAAGCTAGAAGAAAATACAGGTTAGTATTTTTCAGATCTCAGAATATGGAAGGACCGCCTAAGATAAAAAAAAAATGAGCAATTAAAAATATCAATAGATTTTACCAAATAGAAATTAAGAATGTTCTGAGTGCAGCACGGTATCCTGGGTTGGATTGGGGGGGGCAGGAAAAAAGACAGTGGAAAGACTGGTGAGATCCAAACAGGGTCTGTAGTTTAGTTAATAGTGTTATACTAATTTAGTTTTTTAGTTTCCACATCTATGCCATCGTTATGTATGCTGCTAACATCAGGGAAAGCTGGGTGAAAGGTATGTGGAAACGCTCTCTCCTGTGTTTGCAACTTTTCTGTACACTTACAATTATGCCAGAATAAAAAGCTAAATTGAGAAGTTCTCTAAAACGCATTCAAATACAAATAAAATTATAAAGCAAATGACAAACTAGGGAAACTATATGACAAAGTATTATCATCCTAAATCTAGAAAGAGCTTTTATAAATCTTGTCTTTGTCTCCTTGTTCACTGTCTCTTCTCTCCAGAACACCAGCTTCTTGGAAGGCCGAGAGCTCGGTTTTGTTCCCTGCTGGGTCCCAGGGGCTGGAAGACTGGCTGGCACGTAACAGGCCCTTGGCATATATTTGCTGCATAAATAATGGGACCACAGGAACACTAGGACCGCAACAGAAAAATGATCGGAAGTCATGGCCAGGCAATTCACCTCACAAAAGAAGGACCGTAAGTAGCCCCAAAACGCTTTTCTAAAATGTTCACCTTCATCGATAAATTAGACATTTTCACCTCTCAAACTAGTAAAGGATTTTTCGATGACAATACTCAATACTGAGCAGGTTTGGCGACATGTCCAGCCCCCCGGACCCTGCTTCTGTAAGGAAATTTGCAATTCCCCTTGCACCTTTGTCTTTATAATCCACTTCCAGGAATCTTTCCTAAATCAGAGGTGTTCACAAAGATTTTTGTTCGTGTGCTTGCATTTTCTCAAACAGGCCATGTGGACTGGCCTTACCACTCATTCCTGCTCTGGGCAAACCTCTTGGCTTTTAAGACTCTGCTCATACATGCCTGGAATTATATACGAGAGTATATAATGGGTGTACGTGACTTCTTAACCTTATACCCCAGCAGTCGCTGTTGGAAAGCGGAAACTATAATTTTTTTCTTCACTGTTGCTGATATATAGGTTCAGTGTGAGCATATGGCAGGAGGAAGGGAGCTTAGAAAGAGCTAGCAAGACAGAAAGAGTGGGTCCTGGCTTTTCCCACTAATTTTAGCTTTGTCACGAGAGAGAAGCAGCAGGCTTCTGAGGAGACTGGGGGTCCCAGGGACTGGGATCTCAGAAGCTCAAATGAGCCCCACCCCCTCACCCATGCCTGCAGTTTTAAGCAGATTCCTGCCACCAGAATAATATCTGGCTGCAAGGGCTTTTGACCTTATCAGACCCGAAGCCCCAAAGCCAGGGTTAGGGTAGGGGGCTCACCAGACACGCAGCTGCCAGAAGGTACCGATCCACAGGGCTTGGGCCCTTGTGACCAGAGAGAAGGATTCTCCGGCTGTACCCGTGGCTCAGAGTTTGAAAATCTCTCCTGGGCATAACCCCTGAGATGCAAAGGACTTACGAGGTGGTTTACTAATGAAACTTCGCAGGAAGGCTGCTTTAGCCTGAGCAAAGACTAGGGGCATTCAAGTTGTCGGAGACCAAATGGAGCTTATACCTGGGATGTACATTTCTTTACAATCCCCTTGTAAATTAGATTTATTTATTTATTTAAAAAGATTTTATTTATTTGTTTGTCAGAGAGCGCGCACAGGCAGGCAGAGTGGCAGGCAGAGGCAGAGGGAGAAGCAGGCTCCCTGCCGAGCAAAGAGCCCCATGTGGGACTCCATCCCAGGATCCTGGCATCATGACCTGAATGGAAGGCAGCCGTTTAACTCACTGAGCCACCGAGGTGTCCCAAAAATTAGAATAATTTAAAACGTGGGTTGTAGCCAGTACAACTGGTTGCCTACACAGTCTCCATTCTCTCCTTCCTTACCAATAGGAGACCCGGCATGTTACGGGACCAGTGGGGCTCTGCCGTCAAACCCTATTTCCCAGCCTCTCTCGCCAAAGGGATGGCACAGGAGATGAAGTGGGAGTCATGGGTGGTGCTTTCAGAAAACTTTTGGAAAGGTGCCCGCTCAGCCAGGACCCTTTGATCCTTTCCTCCAGCTGTCTTCTTTCTGCTTGGAACATGGGTGTAATAGCTAGAGCTTCTGCAGCCTTCTTGGAACATGAGACACACTGATGATAAAAGCCAAGTGGTAAACATGGTGGGGGAGCATGGGATCCTCCTGCCCACAAACTGCCCATCGCTGGACTGCTGATTTGGGAGACAATGAAAGCCTTTACCACAGTTCAGCCTCTGCTGTTCTGGCTTTCTCTTAACTAGCTGCCAATAGCAATCCCTAACTAATACACATGGCTCATACTCACAATTGATGAACTCATCCTATAGACTTTAATGAAGAATTATACTTTTGATTATTAAACAGGAAAATGTACAACATTTTCTTTTGACGATGAGTGCCCATGGGAAGTCTTCCCATTTGCCTCATGAGGTCTGTGCTCCCCATGGCGTCAATGCGGACGGAACGTGCTTGGGAGACATTAGCAGCCAGGCCCATCAAGTACACACACCCTCTGGCCTGGGCCTTGCCACATGCACTTGGGGCAGAGCCACAGCCTGCCAGCCCCTCTCCTTACCTACTCAAAGTCCCAAGACTGTGATGTTCCAAACTTGCCCCTAATCCATATGTCCCCAACCCCCAAGCATGGCCCCTGAGGGCTGTATCCCATGCCTTACAGGGTAACTGGGAGCTGTAAATAGAGCCAAGTGATTACTCTATCTCTCTGGTGTTTTAATAGGATTGGAAAGAAAGAAGGGGGCCCGCTCTGATTAGCAGTCACTCATGTGGGTGGTTTTCTGTGAGGCTGCACTGTAAGCAGACGTCAGTTTCCTGGAGCCTTGGGAAATGAATTCATGTCTCAGGGAGTCGTCTGGGGACATAGGCTGTTGTGTTCCTTTGGAATCTTTGAGAGAGGGCTGCATATCTTCCTGGCCCTGAGGTATGACGCTGGCCTTACTCCACTTCTCAGTGAGCCCCTGCATCTCTCTGACTTATCATGGGTTACAGCTGCCTGCACTTCCCCATTCCCTGTCTTGGCCGTCCCTGTTCTCCCTCAGTTACCGACACTCACTGTCCACCTGCTCTGGGCCACAGTGAGTGTGAGGGGGCCCCTGGGACCTTGGGTCCTGGTGTTCTCGTTTTCCGCACAGCCTCTTGGAAGGTCAGAGCATCTAGGAAGAATTCCCATGAGTGTCCTAAGACAGAGGACAGCCTGGTTCAGGACTTGCGTTCACCCCCTCTCTGGACAATGTCTTTGTCCAGAGCAGGCGCCTTATAAGGGGGAGAGAGTGAATGGACCAGAGGTGACTGCACCCCAAATAGGGCATCCCCCTGCCTCCAGTCACATCCTGACCACTTTGCTCTGCCCCATCCTTCCCTACTCACCAGCTTCCAGTTTCTAACATAACAGCCAACCCCTCAGCCTTGGTTCAAGATCATCAAGGTTGGGTTCTGCACTGTCCTCCCAACCTCATCTCCCAGAACCCACCTCCAGAAGTTTCTGCTCACTGGTGTGTAGGCCTTTGTGTTTCAGAACCACAGAGCTAGAAGGGATCTTGAAAACCACTGGGGAAACCAAGGCCTAGAAGGGCCACACTGAGCCTTACTGACAGAGTAGTGACAAGACTTCCTATCCCCAAGGTTCTGGTTCCCCATCCCAGGAACCATGTGACCTCTCTCTGTGGCCCCACTCTCTGAGAAACAGCGACCATGATGTCCAACCACTCAGCTCTGCAAAACAACTTGCCTTGGGGTTGAGAGTAACTGGGGAAAAGTTTAAAACCAGAAGGATCAATTTTCACCACGTGAAAAGCAACCAAGAGCAGGAGCCACTCCTGGAACATTTGACTCTGACACGTGTGTCGGATCCAGAGACCTCAGCCCCTCCACAGGGGAGGCCGTGGTGACGAGGGCGGGGACTCCCGAGCACCAGCTCCTTCCACCATGAGGAAAGGCTGTTTCAAATCATTGAATCCAAGAAAGGATGAATCATAGCCACCAACTCTTAGAAATAATGGATCTCAGAAAGGAAGTTTCTCAAAATTCCTCTTCCCTCGGCCTCTAGGATACCTGCTGTCCCGGTGCCCCTCTTGGCCCTCTGCTGCTCCTCTCTGTCAGCTCTGCACAAACCTCCAGCATGGCCGGGGGCTGAGGCTCAGCGTGGGCCTCTGAGCCACACACTCTGGACCTTCTCCCTGAGCAGGTGAGTCTCCTCTCCCAGCTCTGACCCCAGCCCCATCGGTGACCGTGTGTCGCACGCCTGCCTTCAGCAAACACTGAGCACCTCCTCTGAGCTGTTCTCGGCTCCAGGATGCAGCAGGGAACAGATTTGCAAAGATCTAGCCCTCATGGAACGTATGTTACTCCAGTGGGGGAGACACAAGTAGAAATAAAAAACACACACAGACAAGATAATGACAAGTAGTAATGAGGACTGTGAGGGGAGAGGGTGACGGAGGTTAGGTGGTCCCTCTGAAGAGGTGACACAGAGCAGGGGTGGAGTGAGGGGAGGAGCCATGCACCCCAGCAAGAAGGTCCATCCAGGCAGAGGCTGTGATGAGGACGGGATCACATGGACATTTGGGGAATGGCAGGAGGCCAGCGGGGCTGGAGGGAGGGGAGGGACAGTTGGAGCAGAGGTCACAGGTGGTGGGGGTATGGTAGAGGTATCAAGAAGGAGGGGCCTATAGGCCATAGTGAGCACTGCGGGGTGTGCTGACGTGAGGAGTCCTGAACACGATCTCTTCAGCCGCTGTGCTGAGACCAGACTCGAGGGAAGCAGAAAGCAGGGTGCTGCGGTTGGACCCTCTAGTGAGAGGTGAGAGTGGTTGGGGAGAGGGTGAGATTGGCACAGGGGACAGAAGGGACAAAGTCTGGGATAGTATTTAGAAGGTAGAGCTGACAGAATTTGCCAACAAACTGGATGCAGGATCTGAGAGAATGAGAGAAGGTGGCCCAAGATGGGCAGCCTCCTCCTCTGTCTCCAGCTCAGGCTCTCCCAAAGACTCAGATGCACCAGCCAGTCACCAGTGGACACCTTCCCCAGCATGTCCTCACCTGCTCCAGCATTGTCATGTGACTTGGTGACCTCACAGCTGGGTGTTCAGGCCATCGGGATCAGCACTGCTGCCTCCTCCAACCCCCTCCTCCCTTCTGCCCTGCCTGGCTCCAGCTGGTTTTAGCTTCTGACAGCCTTCAGTCTACCCTTTCCCTGTGCCCAGGGCTGGCACCGTGTCCCTCTCCCTGCCTGTCCTCCTCTCCTCCCCCTGCCCCCCTTTCACCCTCACTCTGCAGTGGAGTGAGCCTTTTGAATGGGATCATGCCGCTTCTGTTTCAAGCCCATTTCCTATGGCCTCAGTTTTCAGCCTGAGTCACATTGTCCTTCATGATAGGACCCCTTCGCTTCCTCAGCAGTGACTGTCTACTCCCCTCTGCCCCAGTGCTCCAGTCACTCTGAGTGGGTGAGGATTTCTCCCTATGCTTTCCTCAGGACCTTTGCATACCTTTGCCTCCACGAAGATTGGGCTTCTGCCTCCCCGGCCCCGTGCCACTCATCCCTCCCTCTGCCTCCCCTGAGCCTGCTCTTTGCACTCTCCCACAGCCCCTGCTTCCCTCATTGCGACTCCCACCCCAAACAGTTGTTGCTCTCTATTCATGAACTTTTCTCTCCTCTGGGACTATGGCCAGGCTTGAGTGCCTGGCACAGGGCAGGCATTGGCAAGAGTGAATGAGTGATGGAGAGGAGGGGCATGGCCATCATGGAGTCTTGGAAAAAGGGGTTCAGACTTGGAGGCATTGGTGGGTCTACAGAACTTTCCTGGGGGGAGGGCTCAGGTCCCGGACGCAGGTTAGCCACGTCCACGTGGCTCAGGCAGGGGCACCACCAGGCAAAAATCACTGCCCTTGGAGTCAGACCCAGGCTGAATCCCGGCTCCATGACTTGACCGCTGGATGACCCTGGAAGAGTCACGTCATCTCTTTAAGCCTCACTCCCTCGTCTGCGAGAAGAGGACCAAGAGGGGGACCAGCAAGGAAAAGATGATGGGGTAGTGATGTATGGCCTTCCCCAGTGGAGGCTAGGTGCACACAGGCAAGCTCAGTCAGTCAGGGAACACCTGCTGATGCCCGCCCAGGGCCAGGCTGCATGCTGGGGTGTGGCTCCTAGGGGGGCCGACCCCTGTCCTGCCCTCGAGGTGCTCCCAGTCTGATGGAGGCAGGCAGCGCAGTGTGAATCCAGTGGACAGCATGGGGGCTGAGGGGACAGAGACACTGTGGCCACAAGAAGTCAAGAGCAGACCCTGAGCACCCCTTCCCTGTGACCTATGGGGCTTCCGGCAGACACGCAGGGCCAGGCCTCTGGAGTCGGTGGCCCCAGCCCAGGCCTGGCGTTCCCGAGCAGGGCGTCCGTGTGAGCCTTACCGGATGAGGTCCAGCAGGGCATCGGCAGAGCTCATGATGGCCTTCCCGCTCTGCTCTGTCATCTCCTTCTGGGCCGCGCCGCCCGGGTGAATGATGGAGACCATGATGATGCCCACAATGACAGCCACGAAGGTGGTCCACAGGTAGTACGCTATGGTGAGGACGCCCAGGCGGCTGGAGGTCTTGGGATCCAGGGATGCGAGGCCGGACATCAAGCTGGGAGAGCAACGTGGGTTAGGGTCTGGGGGTGGGGGCTGTGGGCACTCAGGTGGACCCACTCCCACCCCCCGGCTCTGCCCAGCACCCTCACAGAGCTGGAGGGACCGTGTGGGCCTGCCCCCCCGCCCAGCAATCCGGTCCTGTGGCCCTCCAGCCTGGTTTCCTGCTCTGTCCTCTGGGCCACGTCCAGGGGCAGCAGCCATACCCCTGCACACCTCCAGGCCTTTGCCACTGCTGTTTCCTTTGGCGTCATTCCCAGGTGCCTCCACTCTGCCTGAGTGCTATTCACTAGGTAAGACCAAGTGCAGTGTCACCTCTCTGGTGACATTGTGGACTGCCTGCCTGTCCCTGGGGTTAGGAGCCCATTCTGGGGCTTCTGCAGCCCCTGGCCTCTGTCAGGACCCTGTCTGTCACTGTCTACCTGTCTCTCTCATCAGACTGAGGACAGGAGAGGAGAGGGGCAGGTGTGACTTCTCTTGTGTGTCCCCAGTGCGTGTGCAGCATGAGCTGTCAGGGCCACCACTGCGCAGGGGTTCACTGCGGGCTTGCTGAATGAACTAGTGATGGCGGCAAGTTAGAGCCCTGGGCTAGGTCCCAGTCCTGGCTCTGCCTGGGAGATATCTTTGGGCATCAGGATCCCATCTCTGAAACAGGGCCAGGGGTTTCTTGGCGAGGCGCCACTCTGTGGCCATCTTGGGCTACCGCCTGGGTCCAGATTCCCCTTGCCACTGTCTTGGGAGGTTGTGTTGAGGGGGCTTATGGGTCTCCCCCACTCCCAGCTCCTCCCCACCCCTGCCTGCCTTGCCCTGAGCTCTGGGCCTTCCTGCGAGGGTCAGTCCCAGAGCTGCTTTCCTCCTGGTTGTTGGCAGGGTGGGGTTGAGAGATTAGTTAAGGAGATGCCTGTGCTTTGCTTTGCTGCCAAAAGGATTTTCCCCCAAAGTCCTTTCATTCTTCCAGATAAAGGAAGTATTTGTCTGCTTTTAATCATGTAAGCAAGAGTGGATAATCCCTTCCCATCCTGCTGCTCCTGTCATTAGACTACAGGCGGGCAGCAGCCCCCATCCAGCCCAGAGCCTAGCAAGCTTCTACCCAACCTTGGGCTATAGCTGCTGCCTGAGTGCTGTGCTCTTCCTCGCTCTGTCAAGGCACAGTTGAAGGGTCCCCTCCAGGATGCCTTCCCTGACCACTGGCTGGGGACAAGGCTCCTTCTCTGAGCTTCCACAGGCCCAGTGCAGTCCTCTGCCCCAGCCCCCACAGCACTGAGTTGCCTGCTGTTTGGGACCCAGCTGGAGTCTGTTCAGTCCTGGGTCCGCAGAGCTGGGCATGGGGCCCAGTCACGTGCAGCTTGGTAGCCATTTGCTGAACGAAGGAGTGAGTAAATGAATGAATGAATGAATGTATGTATGTTTACAATCTCCTTTCATCCCTTGTCTGCCAGTATGCCATATGTTAGTGATGGGCTTAGGGTGGGTCTCAGGCATAAATCCTGAAGGGCTCATAATGGGATTGTGTAGGCAAGGGAAATGGGGGGCTGTCCTGCGATTATGATCCACCAGAGAGATTATCCCCAGCTTGGGGCCAGCACATCAGCCCCGGGCCAAACAACCCCCTGACTGCAACAAATCCCCCATAGCCTAGTCCAACTGCTCACAGGGAAGGAGGGGTCCTGAGAGGATGACCTGCCTGAGGTCGCGTGGAACACTAGCGGCCAGCTGAATCAGAACACAGGCCCCTAACTCCAGTCCTCTTTCCTTGATGTATTTATTCATGTCTTTAATGCATGCCCACTCCATGCCATGCCCTGAGTCCACAGAAGGAAATCAGAATCACTCCCCAGCCTCAAGCTGCTCCTGGTGTGGTAGGAGGGCAGGACAGAGACAGACTGAGACACTTTAGTACAAGTGGACCCAAGAAAACAGGAGCCAGGGTGGCTGCATTGGTACCATAGGCGAGAGGATGAGGATGTGCTATCTTTTATTAGAGGAGGAAGGGATCACTTCTAGCTGGGAGAGTCAGGAAGGATGTCCTGGAGGAGGGGGCATTTGAGTGGTTCTTGGGAGGATGAGGAGGATTTGGAGATGGGGCAGATATCCGAGGCAGTGAGACAGCAGCAGCCAACAGGGAGGCTGTCAAGTGTGGGCACAGTGTGGTCAGAGCTCAGGTCAAATCAGAGAAACAGTGATATGGGGGATATAGATCGCACTCAGGAGGGGGGTGTGGCCTTGAGTGCCAGGCCAAGGGGGACAGAGGGAAAGGTGGGGTCCAGTATGATTCATCCAGGAGAATTTGCTGGCTGTCTGAAAAGGGAGAACTCCTTAAATCTGAGAACATCTAAGTGTACTGGGAGAGACCCTAAAGTGGTATTTGCGAGAGCAAACACCTGGGACCAACCTAAGAAGGCCAATGCAGAATTAGATCAGGACTCAGGGCCTGGATGGCTCAGTGGGTTGGGCCTCTGCCTTCGGCTCGGGTGATGGTCTTGGGGTCCTGGGATTGAGCCCCGCATCGGGCTGTCTGCTCAGCAGGGAGCCTGCTTCCCCCCTCTTTCTGCCTGCCTCTGTCTACTTGTGATTTCTGTCAAATAAATAAAATTAAAAGAAAAAAAGAATTAGATTGGGACTCAGGCCCCTAATTTATCAATGCAGAATTAGATTAAAAGTTACAGCATACCCACACAATGGCGTTCTAAGCAGCCATTAGGAGCAACGGTGTCATTGGAAAGATGTTCTTATTGAAGGTTAGGTGGAAAAAGCAAGGTCTGAGCTAGTCTGTATCCCTGTGGGGAGCCCCAGAGCCTCCTCTGACGGAGGCCTCTCTCCAGGATTGGGGTCCAGATGCCCTGCACAGACATGCTTGGGGGATTGTGCACGAGAGGCGTGTCCATGACCATCAGATCGCAGAAAGGGGCAAAGGCTCCTCGGAAGGCCACCCTGAAGAAGATGAGGTCTAACACAAAGGTGGTTCCAACTCAGGGACCCACCAGGATATGGGAAGGGAGGGAGTGTAGATTCTAGATACAGCAAGAGAGGCCCCAACGCAGGGACTCTGGAAAGGAGAGGGCTGATGGATAACATGGGAAGAATTCCATCCCCTGGCCTCCAACGAGTTCCCCTCTGGAACCTCCAAACTGGAACGGTTTTCCTGCTGACTAGAGAGGGGAGGCAGGAGCTCGAGGGGAGGGAGCCGCTGGTAAAAGATGATGGAGCCTCCAGTTTGGTGACCATGGGAGTTGGCAGAGGCGAAGGAGACCAGGAGCTCAGTATGAGGAAAGCCTGGACCCTGCATGCACGTGGGCCACTCCAGGGACTCATGTTAACAAGAAAGCAAGTTCAAGGTCCCGCCTCTGACCAGAGTGGGCTCCTCTGAGGTCTCAGGCTTTCGGGCCAAGCTGTTAAAGTGACCTTTATGAGAACCTATAAGCTGGGGTAGGGTTGTGAGGACATGCACAGAAAAAACCTACTAGCAAGAGAGATTTTACAGTAGCTTTCTTTGGGAGGTGGGATTATGGGTGATTTTCATTCTGTTGTATTGATTATCTGTGTACTCTATTATTTCTAGAATGAGCTTGTCTTACTGGTGTGATGGAAAACACAATCCCTGGAGTACCAGGTAGCCACAGAAACCATATTTCTGGACCTTAAATGTACCCATACACCTGAATATCAACCTCGTTTGATCCTTAAAAAACAGAGTCGGTGCTGCCCTATGGAATCACAAGGTAGGCTACAATTGTAAAATTTTTAATTTTCTAGTAGTCACATTTTAAGTAAAAAAAAAAGTAAAGTTCATTTTTTTGTGAAATTCATTTTAATAATACTTTATTTAATCCAGTCTATCCAAAATACTATCATTTCAGTACGTAACCAATATAAAAATATTTACGCTGCTTCAGGTGTTAAAATTTTAAATTAATTTCTTAAAAAAGTTAAACTCTTAAGTTGCACATTTCAAGGGTTCAGTAGCCCATTTATGACTAGTGACTATCGTATTGGACTATGCAGTTGGAGTTACAGAGAAGGAAAATAGAGCTCGGGGAGGGGGAGATAATTGGCCAAGCCACCCTGCTGGGAAGCTGTGGAGTCAAGACTGGAACATGGGTTTCTGATTCAGAACTCTGCGGGGCTTCCCCTGCTCCTAGTGCCTCTCCGCTGTACCAAGCTGGTTTAACTCCTGTGGAAGAAAAGTGTCTTCCAGTTTTGGCTGACCATGATTGGAATGTAAGGGAGCTCATGTCATGCCTCTACAGTTCAACTCTCAGAGTTGACGACTTGTCCTGTGACGGATTTGTGGTGGTGAGCCCCCCAGTCTTTGGAGGTATCCAAGTGGAGCCTGGATGACCAGCCACCTGCTCAGATGCTCGATCAAGGCTTCTAGACTGAGGGGGAGATTCTGTGAGGATGACCCTTCTGGCACATAATTTGCAGTGAGGGGAGAAAAGGTAACCTTGTCTCACCTACTCCCAGTCTGGTTAGGCTCTCCTTGGAACCCCCGTGGTCCTTCAGGACCCTGGGGAAGAGCCTTAGGGAGCTGAGAGGTCTCCCCCCGGAGCCATATGGTTGCCACCCAGAGCCAAGGGATTGTGGATGAAGAGATTGCAGTGACTGGGGAGCCCAGCCAGTTTCAATCTGGGAACTGCTCCACTTGCAGGGGTTGGGGGAAGGGAGGCAGCAGCTGCTGGGCTTCTCATGGAGGGCAAAAGAGGCTGTTTACTGGCCATCACCTGGTTCTAGCACCAGCTGCTGAGGTGGGGATCATGCCCACCTGACTCCGGGAGCCACCACTGCTGCTGTGCCCTGCGCTGGGGACAGTGGACAGAACACCTGGACTGTTGGCCACTCCCCACCCCCATCCCATTTGAAGTCCTTGGTGGCTCTCCACTGCCCTCAGAACTTTGCACCCTCCTTCATGGCCTTGGGTCCAGTGTGGCCTGACTCAGTCTCAGCTCCTCGCCCGTACTCCCGCCACCCTGGTCTCCCTGCTGCTCCCTGAACCACCTT